ATTACCAAAACAAAACGGCCTAAATCGTTGAAAATGGAAAAAATTTATAAATATATTCGGTCATACATATTCTTTGGACATTTGTACCAATTTTTTGGGGATTGTTTTTTTTTCAATCAAATAAAAAAAATTACTAAGTATGAAGTCATTTTATTTTGAAAAAAGGTGTAATTTTCATAAAATTTTTTTAAGTTTTTACTCAAAATCGAAAAAAAAATTTTTTAAGAGTGGTATATTTTTTCTTCTCTAATTCCAATAGAATTTTTAGGAATGCATTTTTACCAAAAAAAATAAAAATAAAAAATTAAATGTTTTTCTAAAAGATTTTGGATCATTAAAAAAAAAAATCAACGTTTTCGCCGTTTTCGTTCATTTTTAGATTTTTTTGTGTATGTAAGCTGTACTAAATATTTGTCGGTTCGCACAAGTAATTGTCAAATTCGAATTCCTCGCACCAAAAAGCTATCAATACGAATTTCCAGAGCCATCGAAAATCGTTAAAGTTTGCTCAAAAATGGGCCCCGCCTAAAAATTTGAATTTGACATTACTCGATTAAATGACCTAGCCTATTATTAGGTAGGTCGTCTGGTTGTGCATTTTTTCGACTAGGACAGTGTTGTTAGCAAAGGGAATAAATAAGTCAACATTTTTCCGATAAGGCAAATTTGATGCAAATCAACAGAGCTCCATTAAACGAACCGAACTTCGTCAATATTGTCATATTGAAACAATGATGACTTATGGTACCTAACAGACTCACTTACATACTTGTTTGAAAAAACATATCACATTTTGTAATAATTTGGAAAATCAATTACTTATATCACAAAAATGAAATATGTGTTGGCAACTTGTTAAACTTTACCTAAATGTGATCACTGCAAAAATTTGTGTATTTAATCTCATGCAAATAAAAAAAAGGAGAAGGTTATCGATTTGTCGGAAAATATTTTTTTTTTATGAATATTGGCACATAACTTTGGACCACGTTAACCGATTTCTATAATTCTTTTTTTATGGAAAAGTGATATTGTACTAATTTGGTTTAGATCCGATTATTGGATCATGAAGAAATTAACGGTACTCTTAAAATTGTATATGGGAATTGAAGTCGGTTTTGTGTTTTGCTTAAAAAGTATTTCTTTGTAAATATTTTAGTGTTAAGAAATGAGAAAAAAACGAAATTCGTTTTCCTATACACATATATTTTCAAAAGGTAATTTAAAATTTTTAAATTTTTGGAAAAAATTGTATCTTTTAAAATATCTCCAAAACCTAAAGTTTTAATGAAAGATTATTTATGAGCATAAATAGCATGAATATAGCAAGCTTAATTACCTTTCATTTGATATATCACTTCTCTTGATCGGCTGATGGATTCTATAGATATTAGATGTCTTGCATTTTCTCGAGAAGTTCTAAATATAATTCATTCTCATTTCCATAACCCTTGCGGATATCCCGCTGGAAAAGTGTCATGTGGCCAATACTTCAGTGGTCATTGCCTGTCCTTATGAACTCATTCGCATACTCGAAGTTCGAACATACTAAGCTCTGCTATAAATATACTTCGATGGGCAAAAAATACTTATTTCATAATCGATCTCATTCATCTTACAAATCTAGACATATTCCTATCACCACATCACCGCACTACGGACAATTTTATCCATTTTCGTGGTCAAAATTAATTATGGCCAAACAAGTATATTATTTAACAAAACATAATTTTTTTATTGATTGGAATTCGATTTCCCACATTTTTGCAAAAAAAAAAAACAAAACAAAAACCTTAACCCTTGCCTTTAATTTGTGGTTTCATAGAAAAAGTTTAAATGCAGTTGGTTTTTTAATACTTATATTGAAGAAAAAAATTCCACATAGTTACAAATGCAATTTATAGAGTGGCTAATTTAAAAAAAAAAAAAAAACATTGCCAAATTATAGTAACTAGTGTTCGCCCAGCGGTTGAAATTCAACCGATAAAATTAAGGATAGTTTATGTAAGTTGAATGAGCTAAAATAACATTAGTTGGAATGGGTTAAGTGGAGGGGAGTTTAGCTTAGTACTTGGCATAACATAACATAACCATAACATAAGAATAAATAACATAACATATGAAGCATAACACACCACAATATAACATCGCACACTCTTCAGTTGTATTTCCTTATTATCCCTTTTTTCACCTCTATCTAAATCTTATTTATTTTGGTTAATTTTATGCCAAATGATGTTGCCTTTGATGCCACATCAAGTGATATCATGTCATGTGGTGAAATTGGGTGTGGTGAGCTGCGGAGTGGTGGAATTGGGTGTAGGAGTTACGGTGTGGTGAATTTAGGTGTGGTGGATTCAGGTGTGGTGAGTTAAGTTATGGTGAGAAAGTTGAGGTGTGGTGAATTAAGGTGTGGTGAATTTTGGTGTGGTGAGTTGAGGTGAGTTAAGGTGTGGTGAGAAAGTTGAGGTGTGGTGAATTAAGGGTGGTGGATTTAGGTGTGGTGGATTTAGGTGTGGGGGTTAAGGTGTGGCGAGTTGAGGTGTGGTGAATTTAGGTGTGGGGAGTTAAAGTGTGGCGAATTAATGTGTGGTGAGCTCAGGTGGAGTAAGTTTTTAAGTTAAGATGAGTTAAAGTTAAGGGGTTATGATCTTTATCCTTATCTTCATCTTCATCTTCATCTTCATCTTCATCTTCATCTTCATCTT